GGCCATTTGTAAATGACATACATGTATAAATGAATGGTAAACTATGGCAGAGAAACATTTCCGATATGATAAGGGCATCTTACAACATGACATTAATCCTGGAATCGATGTTAATGTTAAATACTTGAAGCGTATTGTACACGTCATTGGAATTATACGGAACAATTATCCGGACTAAATGATTCATACAACGGCCGAGGCGTGTCAATTTATTCATAAAAATACAAGATACTATATTGAATGAAAGCAGTTTTATTTCAGAAATTGCGGAAATAATATGATGATTTTTATCCCCGTCAGTTTTTATGTATTGACTTTACAATAGTTTTATAATTAAATGATATTTTAAAGAGGGAACTACATTCACACGTTAAATACCGGCCTGTTTTTTTTCTATTAAACTTCAATTTCACAGACTATCAGCGTACAATGTTTAATGAGGAAGGCGTTCTGTACCTGTAGTTTTAAGTGTTTAAGAGATATTGCCAAGACTTGAGAGGATTTTTTTGTTAAGTTTATATCTATTTCATGAGATTGTTCGCATTAGTTTCCTAAAATAATATAATACGATATACACACACGGCAGATGGAATATTTCATTATAAAACCAACAACATAAGTTGGCTCTTAATGTGATCGAAGCTTTCACACTGAACTGCATCATAATTTCATTATCGACTTTAATATTGCAACAAAAACATTTTGTTAATCAAGAAACCATACGAAAAAAAAAGGAAACCAAGCAAAATAAATGATCTTATTGTAGAGGAAACAAAGAAGAACTTTATTTACACACTAAAAGTGAAAGTTTATTTTTTACATACCATATGCTATAAATCCTTAACTGTTGTGTCCTCACTACCAAACAGAAAATAGCTCCTGTTTCATATAACCACTAAAGTAAGCTACTCATAAAATCACATATAAACAAGCAGAAAATTGAATGTAAACATTCGCATTCACATAAAAATTGTATCATTAAAGCACTGTAGCGAAATTACATTATTGAACGAACAGAGGGAGGAAAAAAACCTCCACTCAACATGTTCATTTATGATTCATCGCGCGAATACATGAACTCACGCTCTCTGCGTACGCTCGACATATTCTTTATATTGCTATGGGTCGATAAAAAGGTCTTTTTTCCTTTATGACATGAAAGATAGCACCAAAATGTATGATTGTACATCGTTGGCATCTATTGGAGATTCTCCTACTAGTTTAGAATTTCATTTAATTGTTGTTAAAGCTCTCGAAATAGTGTCGTTAAAGCTCTCGCAATATCAACAATATTTTACGTGTAGGAAACAATTATTGACAATGTGTTTTGCACGTGCGCGTTTTAGTGAACGCGTCTGTAGAGATAAGTGCAGGTAATGCAGTAATTATTTGAAAACTCTAATAGTTTACATTTACGGTATTCTTATTTTCGTTTAGTTTTTTTTATAACATTTAGTATTAATTCTTTTATTATGCAATTGTCATTTAATACCGATTCTTCAATATATAGTATTAAATTAGTCATGTCTTTATTTATATAAAACCGAATTATCAATAGATTAGTTAATTTAAATATTCTATCAGTTTAAGAACGGAAACGGCGGTAAAGTTGTTATGAATGAAACCATATATCCTCATATGAAGCCGGTGATTATCAATATATTCATTTTATTTTGATATTGTGCGAAACCATGTCATCAGTGTATGTTACCAAAGTAGGAATATTTTACATTTATTTATATGATACCGTATAGTCTCCAAAATTTGGTACAAAAATGTCATGCATGGAACCAGGCGGTAGTTATATGAGACCAAATTATTCATTTTTACAATATATGAAACCATGCCGTCAGTGAATTAGAGTGATGAAACAATATATAAGTTGATTCTGATCGATATGTTACGGTACAAATTTTTCAATTAATTGCATCAATGTAACTATGTTCTGAAACTTGTTTCATTGTATGAAATCACAATATAAGATACCATGTGTAAGCCATGGATGAGACCGTTGTAGATTCAGACATAATGATAATCATATTACAAATTATGTAATAGTTATAGTATATGAAACGAGTTTGTTACGAGGATATAACACTGGCAGGGGCGTTATCAAAGGGTGTTTCTGTTAAAAAATGTCGAGGCCGTTAGGCCGAGACAATTTTTTTGCAGAAACATCCCAAGATGTCGCCCAAACCAGTGTTATATCCTCGTAACTATCACGACTTTCATATACTATAACTGTTTTATGTCATTTTTTTTGTAATGGAAATTAGAAAAAAAAAATGCAAAAAAAATATAAAATAAATAAATATAAAAAAACAAAAACGCGCATTTCTCTCTCTTGTGCCTTCTTTCACCTTTTCACATTCTCACTCCCAGATAAAATCAGAGACATAGATATTTATGTCTCTGATAAAATGAATCAATACCAGTTAAGCTACCTCACAGCTATATATAATGAAAACTTAAAACAACGTCCAATGACAGAGACGGTTTGTAAACTGATAGTTTGTGGAGAAAGTTATTCGAATTCAAGATTTAAGGGCTTTTTCAGTGAAAATAATTCATTCAGCGGATGTGCCTTTTGATTTCAGCGGTTGCGTAATCATATGAAAAAAATTAATTAATTTTCTTTTTTACTTATTTTTTTTTCTATTTTTTATTTATTTATTTAGATCTATTTTTTTTGCTACTTTGGAATGTTCGTTACCGCTGCCCCATTGGAGCCTCAATGAAAAAACTGTACTGATATATACAAGGTGCGAAAAAATCTCAACTGCTATATATAGCAGTTGAGTTTTTTTCCTACATGAATCAATGAAAAAAAACTGTACTGCTATATATCAATACAGTTTTCAAATGCTCTTTGAAAGTGTACTGAGTATATGGGTTAGTAAGAACAAAGAAAACGTTCCAAACCATGCGATAATCAGTATATAATGCATGAAAGTACTGATGTGATATCAAATCTGCCCTAGTGTTCCACGACATTTGTTCTCAAGTATATTACGAATTCTATTCGTAGTTAACATTATTTTACTTCTGTCACGTACACCAAGCATCAATCCGTATTAACGCAAGTAATGGCAGATCACTCATGGTGAATATTCCTACAAAATTTATCCGCCAGGTAAGACCACCGTTTCAAATTAATCATTTGTTTGTACCGTATTTAATAACTTTGAACACCAATAAAACCATCAATAATGCTTTGTCAATAAAGACGGCATTACTTGGTAATATACTATATAGAAGAATTGTGAAGATATAATGTAAAAAAACTCACTGCTATTTATTACTGTTTGCAGCAGACTTGATTTCAATATACATTTCGAAATGAACTAATCTTTGATATAATTCTTTTTGATGTAAAAGATCTCAAGTGTTTCTATACATTGCACTAAGGATTATGCTCAGATTGTTTTAATAATATAGGACGTACATATACCATGTTGGTCAAGCTTACAATACTACACTATATCTAATTTCATATAATAAAAAATGAACTTATATCACAGATAATTTGGTTTCATATGAGGACATCTGGTTCAATACACCATATAGGCCTACCGTGAATTATTTGGTATCATATTAGATCTAATTTAATTAGTAATTATAATGTCAAAAAGAAGTGATATATATGATATCGTTATGTGGGTTTCATAAACAGACGTCATTGTTTCATTTATTGTGAAACTGATTTCCCGTAGGTGTATTTAAATATATTTAAATTTGATTATCTCCCTTGAATTACTCTTCTAATTAGAAAGAAAAAAACTTGAGATAAAATATTCCCGCCATATGTCAAGACAAGACATGTTGAGAGTGAATGTTTACATTTCAAAACATTGATCAATCGGACTATGTTATTTATTTATATGTAAAAAGATGATTTATTTAGATTTTGGAGAAGACTTCATTTTGATGAAAGAGTTGAAAGGTAAGTACAAGGTTTACGATTATATCGATTTTGACTACTTAGTTACACAACATATTTATATTACCTGATTACATGTAAACATGTTAACTGGTTATGTACTTTGACATGTAGGTCATGTTTATTTTTCTGCTTTAATCAATAAATGTTATTGTATGTAAATTTTAAACTCTTTAGTCAATACATTAATTGGTAACTGAGTTTTTGTTAAATATATTAATCAAAACCGTATTTCATGTATTTCTTAAATTTAAATAGATTTAGAAACATGATTGACGTTAAATTAGTTAATTAGTTAGATCTGATAGGATATAAACTTGATTGTAATCAACATGAATGTATGGTATGGTAAAAAGATGATAGATTTAAACAATGATTACATTAACATGTTGTCTTCAGTTGTAAACATCACTGATAATGCTCTATTTATTTATACTAGCTAGGTAGGTAGTCCTAAACACTGACAAAAATGTGTATAATTGGACTTGGGTTTAGCTCTATTGTGTTATTTAAACTTAAAAGACACATATTATAATTACACATTGTCTAGTAATTTTACATAGTGCTGAAATCTAGAGTAAATTTAATAAACTGAAGTATGCAAACATACTGTATCTTGTTAATATAAATTATGAGTTAATTCTTTTATAGCACTTGACTATTTCCTGTATCAACACTATTTGTTTGTAGATAGGCCAGTTGTACATTGTAAATAGGTTGAATAATATTTGATTTATGAAATACATCATCTGATAGGAGAGAAAAATATCAGCACCATAATATATTCTGATGAATTGGTAACTGAAATGTTACACCTATCATTGGACCTACATGTAACACATACCTTGATCCAGATGTACAGGAGATTTGTAAACATGGTATAGATGAAGTCGAGGATTGTTGTGCAAAGAAGTCTATCAAACCTGTCTGTGGTAAGTTATTTTAATTATGATTTAATTTGTAAACTGTGTATTTAAATAATAATATAAAACAATTTAAATTTGATTATCTCCCTTGAATTACTCTTCTAATTAGAAAGAAAGAAACTTGAGATAAAATATTCCCGCCATATGTCAAAACAAGACATGTTGAGAGTGAATGTTTACATTTCAAAACATTGATCAATCGGACTATGTTATTTATTTATATGTAAAAAGATGATTTATTTAGATTTGGAGAAGACTTCATTTTGATGAAAGAGTTGAAAGGTAAGTACAAGGTTTACGATTATATCGATTTTTGCACTACTTAGTTACACAACATATTTATATTACATGTAAACATGTTAACTGGTTATGTACTTTGACATGTAGGTCATGTTTATTTTTCTGCTTTAATAATCAATAAATGTTATTGTATGTAAATTTTAAACTCTTTAGTCAATACATTAATTGGTAACTGAGTTTTTGTTAAATATATTAATCAAAACCGTATTTCTTAAATTTAAATAGATTTAGAAACATGATTGACGTTAAATTAGTTAATTAGTTAGATCTGATAGGATATAAACTTGATTGTAATCAACATGAATGTATGGTATGGAATGGTAAAAAGATGATAGATTTTCACAATGATTACATTAACATACTGTCTTTAGTTGTAAACATCACTGACAATGCTCTATCTATTTATACTAGATAGGTAGGCCTAAACACTGACAAAATGTACATAGTTGTATAAATTTAGGCTTAGCTCTATTGTGTAATTTAAACTTAAAGACAAACATTATTAAACATTGTGTAGCAATTTTTCATAATGCTGAAATCTAGAGTAAAATTAATAAACTGAAGTATGCATACATACTGTATCTTGATAATATACATTATGAGTTAATTGTTTTATAGCCCTTGACTATTTCCTGAATCAACACTTGTTTGTAGATAGGCCAATTGTACATTGTAAATAGGTTGAATAATATTTGATTTATGAATACATCATCTGATAGGAGAAAATATCAGCACCATAATATATTCTGATGAATTGGTAACTGAAATGTTACACCTATCATTGGACCTACATGTAACACATACCTGATCCAGATGTACAGGAGATTTAAACATGGTATAGATGAAGTCGAGGATGTTGTGCAAAGAAGTCTATCAAACCTGTCTGTGGTAAGTTATTTTAATTATGATAATTTGTAAACAAAATTGTAAAAATTGCATACATACATGTAAGTTATAGTCTGATTTTATTGACCTGTCAATTATGAATACATTATAGGATTCATTTAAATATTCGATCCCACTTCGGTTTGGTACGTGTAGTTTACGAGAATAAATGAGTAGTATATTAGTCATGGATTGAAAGTCACGCCAGCTTAATGTGAAGGTTTTCGTTAATTCACAATAGGACAGTCGGTAAAGAGAATGCCTGATAATTGAGAGGTCTGTGGTTCGATCCTTACTGTTGCCATTGTTTAAGTACTCTTTCTTTATTTTTGCAGTATATTTTAATGGAACAGATTTGTAGTGTGTTTTACGGCATTGAAAAGACATTTATTGATTTTAATCCGTTTTAATTTTAAACATGAATTCTTAAAAAACATGTTATTTAAAAAGAGTATATACATAACAAAATTAAGTAAAACATAATCAAACAAAACGAACAACATAAAATAATCATAATTTATTTATTATATAGATTCAATAATGTTGAAAGTATTAATAAGAAAAAAATGGACCAACGCAGACTCGAACCTAAAACACGTGTGGCACTTAGATTATAAACTCTTGATTTACCCTATTGCGCTATAACGCTGAGTACACTTAGTTTAGAGATACAAATTAAATTAAATTCCATCGTACAGCGTCAGTGAGCGTACATCTCACATAACTTACCGAACATCAACCGAAGATTAATATACTGTGTGCATCGACCGTGTAATCAGTATGTAATTGACAGGTTAATAAAACCAAACAATATATTACAACAAATTTAAGATTTAAGCTGGGACAATTTAGTGATGCCCTAGATTTAAGTGGATGGACATCATATTTTAGCAATTGAACTGGAGCATGAGTTATGGTTATTGAAGTAAGTTAATTTGTGTGTTTGTTGATGTGTGAGAAAAAGAAAATGAACATAGTTTGTCAGTAGCTGTTTTTTGAAATACTTCTGAAAGGATAAAATGTTGGCAAAATAAGACAATACTGGTTGGTAAATTGAAAAGCTTTAATGTACATTTAATTGGAAAAAAATTGATGATGTTTTACAAAATCTTTATGAATTAGCTTTTATTTAACTATAAATATATAAACTGGATATAGCTTATTTTCGACTTATGAACTGACTTGGTTGCCCTGATGAAAACTTGTATTATTAGAGTCTCATATGGTGACAATGTAGATAAAAAAAAATATCTGGCTACAAATTGTTGCATCTTAAATGTCATGGAAAATTACCATATAAAGTAAAAGGTTATTATTATTTTCACTAGGCTGACTTGCAGCCATCTAAATCACCAGATAAGGTCGACCCGGAAGTATTAAAGAAAGTAGAGGAATGCTGGGAACAGATTGGTTCCCAGTGTGTAGAATATGCACACCAGTCTAGACGCACCAAGATTGTAGACGACGGGGAGTGGAAAACTGTCCGAATCTTTGTGTCCTCTACATTCACTGATTTCTTCTGTGAGAGGGAAGTTCTCGTTAAAAAGGTGAGTTTTTTCAAATACCTTGATGAATTTAAAGAGCTATATATCCAATTAGTCAAAATATATTGATGTGCCAAAGCTAGATTCTGAGATATTTTTGTTCTAGGTCAGAATCTCGCTTCTAGAGGCAAGATATTGTTTGGACACAAAATAGCAAAATATCTCATCAAGCAGTACAATAAGTTGGACTTACATGAAATATAGCGGCATTGTACTTATACCCACGAAAATACCCTATGCACAGATACATATACATGTGTATTTTAAATTATATCTTTTTATTGATATATTTGTCTTAACCAGTATTGGAGGCTTAATAGAAGAATTTAAATTGATAGAAAAAGGTATTTGTGTATAAAAGACAAAAGTACTTAATTAGTTGTTATTGACAGGTGTTTCCTGAATTACGGGAATGGTGCCATGAACGTTTGTTGTACGTCGTGGATTGTGATTTGCGATGGGGAGTTCCAAAAGACACAACAACAGCAGAAACTATTGCCATCTGTCTGGAAGAACTGAATAGATGTATAGAGGAGACCAATGGAGAACCATTCTTCCTTAATATGACTGGTGAAAGGTAGAAAATTAATTATGTCTCCCCCACCTCGGGGGGAGACATATTGTTTTTGCCCTGTCCGTCCGTCCGTCAGTCCGTCAGTCCGTCCGTCCATTCTTCGTTTCCGGACGATAACTAGAGTTCCTTTTGACCTACAGCCCTCAAACTTCATAGGATGATTGGTCTTATAGAGCTGATGATCCCTATTGTTTTTGGGGTCAGTAGGTCAAAGGTCAAGGTCACACTGACCGTTGGTCAATTTCTCGTTTCCGGATGATAACTAGAGTTCCTTTAGACCTACAGACCTCAAACTTCATAGGATGATTGGTCTTATTGAGCAGATGATCCCTATTGTTTTTGGGGTCAGTAGTTCAAAGGTCAAGGTCACAGTGACCGTTGGTCAATTTCTCGTTTCCGGATGATAACTAGAGTTCCTTTTGACCTACAGCCCTCAAACTTCATAGGATGATTGGTCTTATAGAGCAGATGATCCCTATTGTTTTTGGGGTCAGTAGGTCAAAGGTCAAGGTCACAGTGACCGTTGGTCAATTTCTCATTTCCGGATGATAACTAGAGTTCCTTTTGACCTACAACCCTCAAACTGGGGGGAGACATATTGTTTTTGCCCTGTCCGTCCGTCAGTCTGTCCGTCCGTCAGTCCGTCCGTCCATTCTTCGTTTCCGGACGATAACTAGAGTTCCTTTTGACCTACAGCTCTCAAACTTCATAGGATGAATGGTCTTATTGAGCAAATGATCCCTATTGTTTTTGGGGTCAGTAGTTCAAAGGTCAAGGTCACAGTGACCGTTGGTCAATTTCTCGTTTCCGGATGATAACTAGAGTTCCTTTTGACCTACAGCCCTCAAACTTCATAGGATGATTGGTCTTATAGAGCTGATGATCCCTATTGTTTTTGGGGTCAGTAGGTCAAAGGTCAAGGTCACAGTGACCGTTGGTCAATTTCTCGTTTCCGGATGATAACTAGAGTTCCTTTTGACCTACAGCCCTCAAACTTCATAGGATGATTGGTCTTATAGAGCAGATGATCCCTATTGTTTTTGGGGTCAGTAGGTCAAAGGTCAAGGTCACAGTGACCGTTGGTCAATTTCTACCAGAGAGGCTTGATTGTGAAAACGAGTGGAGTCATCCCAACACACTACAGTTATCATGATTTGACATACATTGAAATTTGAGTTGTCTTTCAATAGTGTAAAAAATCTGACAATATGAACGTTTGTTTCAAGTATCATCAAAATCCTTCAAAGGGTTGAAGAGTTATGGAGCAGACACAATTTCCTTTAATTTCGTTTGTGAAACTATATATGATATGACATTCAAGTGTCAAGTAGACCTTGACCTTGGAACCAGCCATACGAAACATGTACTCTACACGTTCTCTGGATGTGGTGAATTTTTGTTTCAAGTATCTACCAGAGAGGCTTCATTGTGAAAACGAGTGGAGTCATCCCAACACACTACAGTTATCATGATTTTACATACATTGTAATTTGAGTTGTCTTTCAATAGTGTAAAAAAATCTGACAATATGAACGTTTGTTTCAAGTATCATCAAAATCCTTTAAAGGTTTGAAGAATTATGGAGCAGACACAATTTCATTTAATTTCATTTGTGAAACTATATATGATATGACCATCAAGTGCAATTTCGTTTGACGCCCGCCTGCCATACGCTGATTGAATAACCAGGATTTTCAAAATTGAATACCTGGTTAAAAACAAACAGTTTAGGAAGCATCTTCTCATACAACCTTAACAATAGAAACCATCCATAGACAGCCTTCATTGAAGTGACTACCGGGTATTTACATTATCTTATCTCCATTTCCATTCCTGTTTCCATTCACAGTTATTCTCAGCAGTGGGGGAGACATGCGCTTTTTTACAAAAGCATCCTCTAGTCTTATATATTTGTTATAGTGTTAAGGAAAACATGTCTAGGACATTACTTGCCACAAATTGTTTGCTTAGCAATAGAATAGGTATCTTATAGATATGACCTATTACCTCTTTGATGTTTCATCAGTAACTCTTTAGTATAATAAACATGAAGCTTAACACTATATATCTTCTTTATTGCATAATTAATAACTTTATGAGTCTCTTAAGCCACAATATCAACAACAACTTTCCTCCATTCTTCAAAGAATTATTATGTTGCTAAATTTTTACTTCATTAACAATCTTTGTGTAAAGCTGGCTCTGGATATGGAACTATCAATTGTTAATCACAGGGACTTCATTATAAGACTTGGAATACCTAACCCTTAGCCTCCCTAATTTGTATTATGGATTTGCCCTGCTTTGAATATGGAACAGTTCATTCAGTAGTTAAGGTTAAGATTTTAAAATACAAGAAACAAGTTATCAACCGTATATACCTTAGTGGACCAGACTCTATACTGTTGACAAAGGCTTATCACTTTAGGGTTAAATTGAGGAGAGAATAGTAAACATATCCCCTAAAATAGAGCCTGATTGGGCTATGGACATACTGGGCTGACTCTATATTGACAGCATAGGCAGGGTATTATAATCACTTGTATTCAATTCAAGTTCAGTGTTTTTTAGTGACACATTTTGTTTTATGATAATGATTTAGTTACCGCTCAAATCGCATACTATTATTACATAGTTGAATTTAGAAGTAATAAAAAAAGAAAAAAACATAGGATGCTATAGGAATTATGATTATTTACCTAGTATAAATGCAGCATATTTAATAACACTGACCCCTATGAAATATCAAATGCGATCATTCTCACATGACAGGTTTTAAATCTCTATTATTAAAGCAAGTTTTAGACTAACATATGAGGTCAACGACCTTCCATTTCTAACTGAGGTCACAAAAGATTAAGGATAAGTGATTATTATCTATGATTACATGTTATTAAGAAATAACAAATGAATTATTCAGATTTGTTTTTCTGGTATAACTGATCAGTGTACCAACAAGGTCAATAAACTTTGACTTTGGTCACTTGTTTTCATGCATTCACTTTTTCACTTACTGTATTAATTTTGACCTTTAAGTTTTATAAAACAAATAGGAAAATTATTCCATGTATATGTAGATGTTTTAGTTTGTTAACATTTACTTATAGCTTTATCATTCATTCAATATGTTTGATCTAATGCCTATATCCTATAAAATATTGATATTAATTCTAAGTAAGACAAATTTCAACTAATTTTATAGTTCATAAATAAAACTGTATTTGAGCCGCGTCACGACAAAACCAACATAATGCGTTTGCGACCAGCATGGATCCAGACCAGCCTGCGCATCTGAGCAGTCTGATCAGGATCCATGCCGTTCGCTATCAGTTTCTCTACTTGTAATAGAGTTGGTAAGCGGATGCGCAGGCTGGTCTGGATCCATGCTGGTCGCAAACGCATTATGTTGGTTTTGTCGTGACGCGGCTCGTTTGTCACCTAAGTAGAACCAATGACATTCTGTAAGAAATCCTATTTTAAAACCATTTATTGAATTTGCCTTTTAGAAATGCATGTAATTTCAGCCAATCTTTAAAAATTGATTTATTGAAATAACTCTAGTTAAAACATTATTTTACACTTCCCATGCTATATATATCTGAAATGAATTTGTCCATCTGTTGATTACTAACAGTGCAGACCATGATCTGAAATGCCAGCTGATGTTGGTTTGCACTGGTCACATGGGTAGATTTAAGTGCTGCCAGCAGACAAAGGTTTAAGCTTGATTGTGAAGAAAACTTCGAGCTGATTTGAACTTATGTCAAATTAGACTACAGGAACATGCTGGTGTTGCATAAAGAAGCATGTCATTACCCTATAAGGGCTCAAACCCACAATCCCTTGGTTTAGATGCACACACCTAAATAACTCTGCTGAAATAAGTACTAGTATTTCATTCAGATTATAAAGCAAGGTGAACTTTTAATGTGTCTGGTGAAAAAAGTAGAATTAACTGCATATGATATTAAATGTATTAAATGTTATGAAGATTTTATTGAAAATATTGTTATTTGAATCAAGTATTTTTATAATAGATATGGCTGGATCCCAACAACAGATGACTTGCCTGATACATTAAGACAAAAGTTCCAATGGATACCAGATACATCTATAACATTTATGGAGGTTCTTCATGGTGCTTACAGGTAGAAAAAGTTAAAATCATGCTATATAAACTTAAACTCATGTATTTTGAATTTGTGTGACACATTTTGATAAACATTTACATGATCATCATTTACATTTACATGATCATCATTTTCTTTACTTTTTACTATCGTGATTTTTCCGCACAATATTGACCCTTGGAAATTCTTTCATATGATATAAAAGACTGTAATATGGATACTAAAAATTGTGACAAGCACATATTGTTACTTTTAATTGAAAATTAAGTTGCATAATTTCCCATCTTTTTGCTATCTCTTGAGTTAAAACTGTTTGATGACTTTTTAACAAAGAGGTATTGAATTTAGAATTGCATGTATATTTTATCACTGATTGAAAATTAGGTAAAAAATCAAAAGTACCAGTCCTATTACCTGTGATTTAAATTTTATCTTTGCATCCTATATCTTAATCACAGATAAGATATGCATTTTCTTTGCTGACAGCAGTTGCTATCATAGAATATTAAAAATGATCATAGAATATTAAAAATGTATATCAAGGGAGAGTGCTGATATAAATTTCTACCTTTAACAATTACTTGAACCAAATTGACATTACTGTTTATTGAGACCACTAATATATAAACTATTGTATAAATCTACTACAGAGTCATATGCATCAACTGTATTTAATGACTGGACAATATATAGATAGGTCATTATTACCGATTAATTTTTGTTATATACATGTATATCATTATATTAAAAATTGGCTTGTATGCTAAAAAGTAGAATTTATGGTATTGACAAAGAGCATCTTAATTAATTACATGTTAGAATGCAGAACCCAAATGCATTATTTATGATGAGGGACAGTACTATACTGGATGATATACCTGAGGACCAGTTGTCCAGGTATAAAGATACAGATGAGTTACAAGTTCAACAACTTAAAGTAAGTTCACTGTAGTAATAGGCATTTCTCTCTAAAAGTAAGTTCACTGTAGTAATAGGCATTTCTCTCTAAAAGTAAGTTCACTGTAGTAATAGGCATTTCTCTCTAAAAGTAAGTTCACTGTAGTAATAGGCATTTCTCTCTAAAAGTAAGTTCACTGTAGTAATAGGCATTTCTCTCTAAAAGTAAGTTCACTGTAGTAATAGGCATTTCTCTCTAAAAGTAAGTTCACTGTAGTAATAGGCATTTCTCTCTAAAAGTAAGTTCACTGTAGTAATAGGCATTTCTCTCTAATACAAGTACCCATACTATTCCTTTGATTATGTTCTCATAAAGATTCATATTAATATTAAGATTATCAAGGTGTAAATTTTTGAAATTGCCATTTTAACTCTAAAATTAAGAATGTTTGTTATTATCCTACTATTATTGTCTTAACTTAAGACTAAAAGGTAACAAACTCTTTTGAATTGGCAAATGTGGACTTTTAGTTAGGTAGAGCAAGAATAACCATATAGCCTCTCTCACCCTCATTTGACAGCTTTTGCATTTCTATTTTAAGTACATTTTTATCATTAGAGGTGACGCTATTCATTGTGATGTCATTATTTGTGAAAATATCAATATAGTGGTTAAATTGCATGCTCATTGTACAGATTATATCAACATCAGATTACATGGCAGGACATAATATCATAAATTCCCTTGCTAATATTCTGTTATTCTATTTCCAAAAACTACATGATATCTTGTGACACTTTGAAAATGTATATTTGTTGCTGTTATGATTATAGCTATGGTATAATTCAGTTGTTTTATATTGGCTCAGACTTTGTTCAATATTGAAATTAAGCCATTAGTGATTCAGAAACTGTTTAACTTATTTAGTGCAGATTATTTGTTTAGTTTAGTTTATTTATCCTCAACCAATCTTGATATCTTAAATGGACTTGTTCAGCTTACAGTCTGGTCAAAACCATTCATCATTTTTTAGGGAAAATTTCAAAATATTAACTGAATGAAAAGCAAGATGTGCAGACAATAATATAACTACATGGATGTGTGGACTTATCTTGGCCAGAATTGTACTCATTGGTTCATCCATTTGCTGCCAGCATACTTACTGTTAAAACTATGCTTTAAACAAAGAAATAATGAATATTTTTGTCTGCATTATAATACACTGTCTGTTCAATCACATTATAACAAGCTGTTGATGTTTTACTTTCCCAGCAATTAAAGATTTGGCTACAGTCAAGATTTCCAGAGCAGGTGCTAGATTACTCATGCAAGGTGGATGGATTGATTAGATTACATGAAAAAGAAATGGTATACTTTCTCTATGAAGTTTAAATTAGAAAGGCGATAATTATATAAAGAACATTTCTGTCTCTATTTCCTTAATTTACAAGAAAGAATATTGGTATCCTTAGTTTGCTTTGAATTAATGCATATTAAATGAAACAGCATTTTATTATATACATTTATATTAAGTTTTGATATTATTGGAAAATTTCAATATTTATGTAATTGTGGTGTTCAGAAGCAAAGGGACACAACTGTGATTTTTAAGATTAAAGTTTTACAGTGCAGCATAACTTCCCTTTAACTAATTCTGTAGTTTAAAAAAAAATAACAATATCTATATCAGAATGGAACTTAAACTTTCTAAATGTTGATTTGTCTGTTGACAAAAATCAAATATTTCGCATATTTCTTAGAGACTTGCTTGATTTGTAACATGAAACTAATTCTTTAATACAAAAGTGTAATAACTGTTCAGATTTGAAAAAAAAGCAGTGTTGTTGAAGGTGTTAATGTTTACATATGATGATATAGTATATACCTATCAAATCAACAAAAGGACCAAATAGCGGCTCGGGTTATATTAACAAACAGCCGTTTATATAGGGCCATATAACCTGTCAACAATCTTTATAACATGTATAATATACATGTATTCTTACATTGTTGGTACAACATGAGCTTGTACTTACAGGAATTACTGTAGTAATTTAAAATCTTGAACTTATGTTTATGTGTTATTAAGACTTGTGTATCTACATCATCTACATAATTATACTGTATGTGTTTTAGGTGATCTTGTAATATTTTAGAGGATCATATTATGTTTCAGGTGATCATGTTAATTGCTTTAGGAGATCATGTTATGTTTTAGGTGATCATGTTATGTTTTAGATGATTATGTTGTTTTTAAGATGATCATGTTATGTTTTAGCTGATCATGTTGGTGATCATGTTATATTTTAGGTAATCATGTTATATTTTAGGTTATCATGTTATATTTTAGGTTATCATGTTATATTTCAGGTAAACATTACTGGATTAGAAGACTTTAGTGAGCAAGTTTTGAAGTTTTTCAAAGCTGCCATTTCTAGAACATTCCCTGACAGAACTGCTGTAAAAATACAAGATTCCAAGGTTCTAATGGAAAATGGTGAGACAGCAAATTAAACCTCTGATTTGAAATAATAACAATTATGTAACCAGTATAGAGGCAGGCTTTCAACAGCTGCAAAATGATGAACTTTATAATGAATTCTCTAACACTATTCAAGAAATGTTCCAAATTCGAAGCATGGCATGTCAACTGTTGTGTATTTGTTGATGAATTGATCAAAAAACTTAGCGTTGTGTTTTAATGAACAATTTTATTCAATAAAATGTCTCTGTCTTGGGCTCACTTTGGGCCTCTCCTCCTATGACTATTCTGTCATGAGTATATATTGAGACGCTAAACATGATCTTCAAGTTGAATATGTAACGCAACCAAATACTTTCAAAAATGGGTAAATAATTTGATGTTTTTCATGTTGATACTAAGAAAATCATTAAACACTTTTTTCTCTTCTGTAATTCTGTAGCCAGTCAGAAGAAACATGTGGAAGAGCTGGCTGATAATATGTTAGGACGTAAAAATGAGGCAGAGCAGATATTTTGTTTCCTACAAGGACAAACTAGTCTCTTCAAATCAGGAGGTACAATTATTATTATTATCACCAGAGTATAAATCAGTTTTAATGTAGCAATTAAATTTATTATTCAATTATTATAGGAAATATTATTCATTGTTAAGACACATGAATTCAGCAGACCAAAGGTTAACTACAAGTTATGTTTACTGTGAGAATTTTGTTAAGCAGAAATTCATTTAAAACAACACATTTTTACTGAGGTTTTTTGACATAACAAGATTAGAAATAAACATTTGAGATCAATGTTCCATTTGACATGTTTGATGTATGTCTAGGCGCAAAATTTCAGATTATTCATTCTCTTCGATTTTGAAAAACAGTCATTCTTATTGTGAAAAATTATCCAAAATTGAAAAGCATTTGAAAATGGATTAATAATGGCACAAAAATACAATTTGAATTTTCAACAATTTTCAATTTATTTTTGAGTAAAATCTTAATTTATATATCTTTTAAATATTCTTCTGTTTAAATTAACCCAGCAGATTCATGTAAGAAATTCAAATTTTATGTTTATAGTTATGAACATTATGAACATTAAGAAAGTGTTTTAAAGTGTAATTTATTATAAACAAAAATGTTTTTAATTAGTCTTAACAACTTCAAGTTCATGTACAATTTATCAAAATATACAAAAAAATCAGTCAGTGCATACATGTATATTAAAATTTACCTAGGGTGATTAATAGCTTTGTCAAAATTGTAAGATGGACAACTTGTTTTAAGATATTTAATGTGGACCATTTTTATTCTTTGACTTTATTTATATAAAAATCAAAATAAAAAAAAGGTTACTTTTTAACCTAATGACCAACTTTTGCATTTTGAAAGTTCAGCCTTCTTCTTGGAATGGAATTCAAGAGAGCAATCTTAGGGGAAATCATGGTTTTGATATTGTTTTGTTTTTCTTTCAGAAACCAAGAAACCATACTCAAGTAAGTATAAAAATCATTATTTGCTTTAATATAATAAACTTTCAATCTAACAGTTACTCCTTGGATTATTTCATATTGGTTCACTTTCTTTTAAAAAGGTAAAAAATAAAGAAGAACATGACTTTAAATGTTGTAGATTTTTATTTCAATGCACCATACTGTTTTGGGATAGACTATGGTTTTGACTTTTTATTCCTTTGTGTTTAGAAGATATTAAGCTGATTTGATATTCTCAATGAGAACAATTTAACATAGATTATTGAGTTTTGGATGTTAACTTTGCCAGAAAATATAAAATTGTTGGCCTAGATATACCTGTAAAATAGAAACATTAGCATCATAATTTAATTTGTTAAGATCTTTTCTGACTGTAGGAGATCCTGAATACTGGCAAGAATTTATTGAATTTGAAAACTCTCTACTGTGTCTTACTGGGCCATCAGGTTATGGGAAGACAACTCTGTTAGCATATGTCACACAACAAGCAATAAAGGTAAGTTAATTTTTGATAAACTAACTACCTTTCACATAAATGCATGCATTTTAGTGATACGGTTGTGCTAGTGGCAGATTTGTTAGCTCAACTATTAAAGAATGGTGGAGGTATCTTACCACTTGTAACACTTTGTTGAGGATTTGTGTGCATATTTCATTGAAATCTTACAAAAGTATTCTCTTAAAGTTGTATGCATGTCATTTGGATTATAATTTTAGGTGGCTGTCAAAGACCAATTACTCAGATTTGAATTATTTACAGAATAATACCTCTTAGTAAATTTTGAGTACTGTTTTTTTTTCATTGTTGTTTATAACAAAAGTTAAAGAATGATAAAATAAAAAAATAACATTTCTAATGTATATAAACAAAGTAATCAACTTCAACTTAATTTCTGTCTGACAATGTATTACATACATGATTGGTTAAAAATGTGGAGAAAGAGTGATCCCTTGTAAGAATTAATCACAACAAAATTATATGAAAATTGCAGATTTGGTTTGATTGAGTCTATACATGTGGGATAATGAAATAGTGCAACATCCATCATGCCTCAAAATTGCAAAACAGTTGCAACAGAAGGGAAATTACTGATAACTGGGATAAGCTTAGATTGCATTAAACATACAACATTATTGCTAAATTTTTGTTACAGAATGGAATGACAGTGTTTTACCATTTCTGTGGCAGTAGTGGTAACTCCCAGCATGTTTTACTCTTGTTACAAAGACTTGCTGCCTTCCTTAAACAAGACTATTCTACAGGTTTGTTCTCAATACAAATTTATAAATCATGACTAAATCTATTTTAGACTAAATATTTTGTTAAACTATTTCAACATTTACCTCTAAATTCAGTTGTATGTCAACATTACACAATAACATTTTTTTAAAGCATATGGGAATGATGAATGATGCTAAAATCAATGATTTGTTCAGAATCATTCATCATTTATTTAGAATCATTTAGAATAAGATGCTTGCTTGCAAAAATAATGAGAAGAACTTTGTCATTATCATAGTTTGTCCATCATTGACATTTATATGACCTAGTGAAAAAAAAGAGATTTTAACGAGGTTTTGATGAATGGAGATACTGATGCGAAACTTTGTGGCGAGTCATTAATTAGCTTTATAAGATACCTGAGACTGGCAGAAGTATATTAAAGTACACAATGTATTAGTTAGTGGCGGTGATATTGGTAGTTTTCACTCCGGATCATGGCAGTAAGACACATTGAATTTACCAGAGCACAGTTCAGCCACTGCATCATTCCTAGGCATGCTGTCAAAAAGTTTAGCAATACTAAATGCCTTCAATTTTTGCAAGGAACTGTAATTTCTGTACATGCTAGAGCAGAGGTACAGTGCAAATGACCGTAGAAAGGATTTCATGATTATTCACAACGGAAGTGACCTGCAACATCCTAGAACTGAACCCATGTCACCTGAATCACTGTATTAGTTAGTAGAAATGATAAAAAAATCTGATCTTTAATTCACAATAATATATTGTGACGTATGTTTATAGAATACCTGGAAACACTGTATCAATTGGATGAAGGAAAACTACAAGATATTATTAGAGACAGTTTTCTAACATTGAAAGATAAACCATCTGATAAGCCTATAGTGATAGTGTTTGAGGCGCTGAACCAGGTAATTCTGTCCTATTTACTCTGCAGCACTAGTACTGCTATTAACAACACAATGTTTTTTCCATTAGTATTTATATAATGAAGATGTTATTATACCCCCGAAACGAAGTTTGGGGGGTATATAGGAGTCCCCCGGTGGTCGGTCGGTTGGTCGGTCCGACGGTCTGTTGCATTTTCCTTGTCCGGAGCATAACTTGAAGACTAATGGTTGGAATTCAATATAACTTCATACAATGGTCAAGCACATTAAGAGGAAGTGCAGTGCACAAGAACTATAACTCAATCTTGACTAATTACAGAGTTATTGCCCTTTGTTACTTTTCCTTGTCTGGAACATAACTTGAAAACTACTGGTTGGAATTCAAAACAACTTCATACAATTGTCAAGCACAATAAGGGGAAGTGCAGTGCACAAGAACCATAACTCTATCTAAAGTAATAACAGAGTTATTGCCCTTTGTTACTTTTCCATTGCTTTCTTTTGTCCGGACCATAACTTGAAGACTAATGGTTAGAATTCAATTTAACTTCATACAATGGTCAAGCACATTGAGAGGAAGTGCAGTGCACTAGAACCATAACTCCATCTTGACTAATTACAGAGTTACTGCCCTTTGTTACTTTTCCTTGTCCGGAGCATAACTTGAAAACTGCTTGTTGGAATTCAAAACAATTTCATACAATGGTCAAGCATAGTAAGGGGAAATGCAGTGCACAAGAACCATAACTCTATCTTGACTAATTATAGAATCATTGCCCTTTGTTACTTTTCCATTGCCTTTTTGTCCGGAGCATTACTTGAAGACTAATGGTCAATATAACTTCATACAATGGTTAAGCACATTGAGAGGAAGTGCAGTGCACATGAACCATAACTCCATCATGACTAATTACAGAGTGATTGCCCTTTGTTACTTTTCCTTGTCCGGAGCATAACTTGAAAACTACTTGTTGGAATTCAATACAACTGCATAAAGTTGTCAAGCACATTAAGAGGAAGTGCTATGCACAAGAACCATAACTCCATTTTGAAAAATTACAGATTTATTGCCCTTTGATACTTATCCTTGTCCTGAGCATAACTTAAAACATACTGGTTGGAATTCAAAACAAATTCATACAATGGTCAAGCACAATAGGAGGAAGTGCAGTGCACAAGAACTATAACTCTGTCCAGAGTAATTATAGAGTTATTGCCCTTTGTTACTTTCCCATTGCTTTTTTCTTGTCAAGAGCATAACTTGAAAACTGCTAGTTGGAATTCAATACTATTTCATACAATGGTCAAGTATATTGAGAGGAAGTGCAGTGCACAGAAACTAAAACTCTTTTCTTGACTTATTTAAAAGTTTTTGCCCTTTGTTACTTTTTATTGTCCAGTGCATAACTTGAAAATTAATGGTTGGAATTCAATGAAACTTTTTACAATGATCAAGGGCAGTGAGATGAAGTGCAGTGCACAAGAACCATAACTCTATTTGGACTAAATACAGTTATTGCCCTTTGTTACTTTTTTGTTCAGTGCATAACTTGAAAACTGGTTGTTAGAATTCAATACAACTTCATACAATGGTCAAGCACAATGAGAGAAAGTGCAGTGTACAATAACCATAATTCCATCTTCAGTATTTATAGAGTTATTGCCCTTTGTTTCTTTTCCTTGTCTTTCTGGACTTATTACAGAGTTAATCAATAAAATTTCATCAATGGCCAACCACATTGAAAGGAAATGCAACATACAAGAACCACAACTATCTTTATTTGCCCACAACCATAACACTCTTTCAATTCTTTTACAAGGTATTCTGTTACTAGTAACATCCTCATTTCCGAAGATGTCTTGCTGGGGTTTTAATCACATTTAGTGATAGTTCTAGTTTTTCTTTAATTTAAGAGTCATTTTAGTAGAGTTAACTTTATTATTGATAAAATAAGTGTGCAATGCCTGAAGGTTTTCAACTTCAGGAGGCTTACAGAACTAATTAATTGTTTTCACTGCATTATTACATCAATTAAAGGAGCATGCCTCAAGATTTCTGCTAATTTTCATAATTTTTTTTAAAATGTATTAAAAGGTAAAATAACAAAGAAAATAATTTACACATTGCAAATGACACTGACAACCCATGTAAATTACCAAACAGTGGTCAAAATATGCAAAAATAGCTCTTACTGCAATTGTAACACAGTAAAAATATGTTATAAAATATTGCACAATCGGTCATTTTCGCTTAGCTTGAATCTTTTTACTTTTCTTTTAATCTATGCACAGTTTTCTCAATTTTGATTTACTTGAAGTAGTTTGGCTCGTCTGAAGGCATGCAGATTTAAGATGTGTACAAAGTATTAATTTTTTTATGTCGTGCTTAAGACATATCTACTGAAAAAAAGATTGTATGATCTAAATCATGATTGATTCTCTTGATGATTTGATAGGTATATACTATATCATCATATTTAAAGTGTAAATATTTAAAGTGTAAATTATTTCATTTTAAAAATATTTGGGTATTTTTGTTATTTGGACAGTTATCATCAGCAGACTATCATAAGCACATGAGTTGGCTGCCCCCAAAGTTCCCTGCTAGTGTATATTGTATAGTAAGTAGTACACAGCACCCGCCCACCATCAGCCGTATACAAGAGCATCCACACTACAGCCTCAAACTAGAGGCATTGAACAAATCTGATGCTAAAGACATTATACAACTTTTCCTACAGAGGTTTAACAAGGTAATCCTTTATAGTTGTTTGAATCTTGTAGCAAAATTTGTAAATACTTTGATAAAGTTTACAATATGTTTGGGTTTGTCAAACTAAAATCAATTAACAAATAAGCTAGCACAAATCTCTGAGTTGAAATTTCTCTTTATTCTTAAAGATTATTATGAATGATACAGTGTACAAGTGTGGAAAACAAACACATTTTTTAAACATAGGTCTTGATAACTTCAAACTGTGCTAGTAGGTTGTTATCAAGATTGTAAGTATTTGCTTAAATCAAATTTTGTTAACAATTATGTATTCGACATTATACTGAAAAATTAATTGAATATTGGGTATTCGATGATACTATGTGATTTTCTTGTACAAAATTGATGTAACTCAAATAATGCTTAAAATGAAGCATATGTCATGCATTAATTTTCTGACTGTTATTGTCTTGATTTTGAGCTGTTTGTTTTGAAATAGTTTTTATTCGACACACAATAGATAAATTGTAGTCTTATGACAAATGTTGAAATCCAGTGGTCTTAAAAGAAACAGGGTTGTTGCATTTGTGTAACTCGTACATATAATTTTATTGAAAATCCAGCAAACAGATAACTAAAACAGTTATGCTAATAACTATGTAAAAATAGAGATAATTATCTAATTACAATAAAACTACTTTAAAGGTAGTTAAGTATGCTTGCATTATTTAAGCTAATCATAATTTTTTTTGTTGATTATAAATTATCATTTCTTAAAGTTTAAACTGAATTATGTTCATCAAAATTTAAGTGCTGTACAAAGGGTCTCCAGTGTTTTATATGTCTCATATTTCAGAGATTGGACAATGATCAGTTATCATTGATCCTGGATTCAAAGTGTTCCCAGAGTCCTTTATGGTTGTATCTGATCTGTGAGGAATTAAGAATATATGGCGATTACCGGTCATTAACCAAGCACGTGCAATCAGTGACCACTAGCATAGATGACATGATTGAAGCCATTGTGAGAAGATTGATCAAAGAAGATGACACAAAACAAATGGAGAAAGTAAAAGATTTGATTTAAGTTTTATTTCTATTTTAGATATAAATTTAGGGACTTTGTTAACTCACGGATTTATATTACATAGTATAAATCCGTGGTTAACTGTATAGAGGATATTGAATGAGTGTTAGTTCAATACTGAATTTATTGAACGAGTTGCTTAAAATATAACTTACTTCTACACAGGACTATTTATGTATATCTTAACATATAGGTAATTTATTCAGACTGGCAAGAAATTTGTTTTGATGACTTAGAAGCTTTAACTTTTTGTTATTAAGATTTGCTCATCTAATAGTATTTCTCCTATATTTAAAACTTTTTTGAAGTTGCCAATAGTCATTACATACTCATATTATATTGGATAAAAAGATATGCTTTTGTCATTTCATTATAATGAATTTAAAGCTGCTTTTTTCAAATGATTTTCTGTGTGTGTTTTCAGGCCATGAGTCTACTAGCATGTAGTAATAGTGTTGTAACTGCACAAGATCTACAGAAGATGCTTGGTAACATTGCAGACAAGAACCCACTGCCCCAGCTTATGTTTGCTCAGATAAAACGGGCTCTCTCACCATACCTGAGAGTTGCTCATTACAATGATCAGATCACATTTGTACACATCAACATTAAAAATGTATGTACTTATTTCTTGTCATGAAAATTTTGATATCGTGTTATTCATTCTCTCGTTGATTGTTCAATTTTTAATTATTATATTTTTTGAAGAATGATCTTGCTTGAGTTGTTGCTAGTAGGTATTGGATTATATGTTAAAAATTCAGAAGTTGATCTTAGAACAAACAAGAACTCAATTATAAATGTGAATCTCATGACTTTTAGATCCAGTGCTCAGGACTTTGTGTTTCAAAATTTCAAACAATTAATCTAAGTGATGACATATCTATTGTTTCAACTTTATTGATACAATATTCTAGAAGATATTTATTTTGATATGAGAGTTTGGTTAAAACATTATTGGAGTCATTGTAAAGAAATTTTTCCTACTTATGAATGCTTTTGTTGCTGATATAATTACTTTTGATTACTTTCATCCGTTTTACTAATGTTAAATGTTATTTTCTATGTTAAAAGTATTGAAAGATAAACTTTAAGTTAATGCAGTGCACTCGGTTCACCTTTTAAACTTTAGACAAATATCATAATGTTTTATATATAGGTAATATTGGATTGTTTGGTAAAGAAGCAAGCTTCAGGAAAACAATGTCATACTTTACTTGCTGACTATATAGAATACTGGAGTGATGATAAAGAACTAAAAGTTGAGGCTTTACCATACCACTTACAACAAGCTGTTCTTAGGAAAAGGTAACTGTGAAAAAATGTGACTAAAAATTTTTAAGCTTTTATCATGTGGATCTAACTTATTGGTTGTTAATTTTTAACTGAAGAGTTAGATATTAAAGTCCCTTGTTAGCAGCAGTTCTTCCAGATATGCTTTGAATAGAAATTAACTGATATTGAAGTTATCAAATAAAAGTTAGATTGCCTGTCTGATCTAGAGAAAAATTATACAATCTATACACATTTTATATAAATATCTTGATTGACATTAAATGCTGTCAATGGTACAAGCTTAAGTCCTAAACTGTAAAGGTAAGACCAGAAAGAAAGAACCTCTGCCTTTGACAAACATCATCTTAGAAACCAATGCAACAGCTTTACATTGCTTAGGTAACAAGTCTTAATCATCTATCATTTAAGAAGGTTAGCATATTAATTTCATAACTGTTTAAAGCCTAAACCTTAATGAAATTTGTGTATTGAGGTCTAGTTTGAGTTGTATTTTCATATTTGAAGTAGAGATGAAAAGATATTCTTCATTTGTTACAGATTGGTGCATTTTATAAGGGAAGTACCAGAGTCCTCACGTGTCCCACTGTTCAGACGGAGTGCAATCATGTCGGTATGTTAACGCGGCTTGATTAATAAAGCTTAACATAAACCTAAACATTTACAGTACTAGCGTTATTCTCAACACTTGCTTTATCTCATTGTTTATTTTTTTTAAATTTTTAATTATTTGTAACTGGAAAGACTTGTTGTCTTCGCAGTTTTTAATAATTCATTTTGAAAATTAAAACATAATAAATTGAAATTCCTCACACTTAACTTATAATTTAAGTCAGTTCTATTTGTGACAATTTAACATTTTTAATTGGTTCATATTAATGACTTGATATTTGGATGCATGATGAACTCTTTATTTCGGTAAAAAACTTATTACATGTACATGTATTTGATATGACTATGTTTGATATTAGATAATTGAAATAGCACTAAAGCCAAGAACATTAAAGATTGACATTTTCTTTAAAAATATCTAATTAAAACAAGATAAAATATTTGTAATGTTATCAATGAATAATTATAAAAGTTTCAAATGTTCATCCATATATGCATTGACAGTTGGACTATGTTTTTTTTATAAAGAATATACGCCATTTGTTTTACAGGACTGTCGCTGCAGAAATCTTGCTGACTCAGTTATTCAAGGAGTTGTTCCAGCTTATTTGTGTGTATTTTGTCAACATAAACGTGCAGTGTATTTTCCTAATGGTTACCACATGAATGAAAACATGTGTGTGGTGTGTGGCAATCATACATTCAATCTACCGAACACATCCAGAGCCCACCTCTGCAACTTTCACTCAGTTCATCAACAGGCGACTGTTTTAAAATGCTTTCTTTGCTCTAATATTGTGACTAAGAACCAGGCAAAACCTGCCTTGTTGTGCCAACATTGTGGGTTTGGAAATAATGGGAAACGGTGTGCTGCTCTTGATATGCATTTGTCATAATATATATATAACGGCAACACTGTTTAGGCTTAATATATTATTATTCTCTTATTGCACACACTTTTGTCGGTATATGCAACTTGAAATTCATATTTAAGTCTATATTATTAGATGATTGTAGAAAAATAAAAGTTATACATACACATTTTGAATGATTGAATGTGCAACATCTTAATCATACAATTTAATGAACAGAACTTGTTTTGTTTTTTTAACTTATTTCTGTTAACTCTCTTTTATACTGAAAAACATTGTCAAAAGATATTCATGTTTGCTACAAATATCATTTATAATTTTATATTTATATATTATTTTATACCTTTATAGATCTACTTGCAATTTACTATATAATGTACACGTTTTATTTGTTACTTTAGTGCTGTCTTTTATACTAAAACTCTAGCAATAAATGTTTACGATTCTTTTTGATCGTTTAAAACTAGTTTATTTCAATACCTTGTGTAAATTGGCTCAGTAGGGAAACTGGGATTTCCCATCCCCAACAAATGAAATTTAGGGAGAGGTGTTATATAGGTGTGAGCTTCTCGGTTAGTTTCTGGATAATAACTGTTTAACGAGGCAATGAATTGTTATATTTTTTTGGTGTGATATCATTAAATCTGCGTCAAGTTCCAATTTGGCTTTAGACCACTTATTTACCCATTTTATGGCCATAGACTGACAAAAATACGATTGTTTTAAAAAAAAAAAAAAACGTATATTTCTTAGTTCAACTTTTACAGATGTTTAGAAATATTAAATATAGTCAAAAGGACAAAAGTGAAAATTGTTAGGCACAGTGTTTTAATATTGAAATCAAAGTAAACAACAAAAACAGTACCCCCACCCCCCACCCCCAAAAAAAACAACAACGCTGCAATGTTTCCGACACAACACGGGTACATAGTGAACATAATGAGCTGTCGTACGCATCCTTATTCGAAAAATATGTACATAATATATTTTCATGACACTCCATGCCACATTTCATACATTATGTATTACAGGTTATTTTTCAATTAATAGCGTGCTTACTATGATTGCCTTTTAACGACCTTTCATTAGATAATTTTACAGACGAGTTCATTGTTTGTGTTTTTAGCTCACCTGTCACAAAGTGACAGGGTGAGCTTTTGTGATCGCTTTTCGTCCGGCGTCCGTCCGTCGTCCGTCCGTCCGTCCGTCCGTCCGTCCGTAAACTTTTACTTTAAATGACATCTCCTCATAAACCACTAAGCCAATTTCATCCAAACTTCACAGGAATGTTCCTTTGGTGGTCACCTTTAAAAATTGTTCAAAGAATTTAATTCCATGCAGAACTCTGGTTGCCATGGCAACCGAAAGAAAAAACTTTAAATATCTTCTTTTAAAAAACCATAAGAGCTAGAGCTTAGATATTTGGCATGAAACATCTTCTAGTGAGTGTCTACCAAGTTTGTTCAAATAAAAGCCCTGGGGTCAAAATTGGCCCCGCCCCGGGGGGGTCATTGATTTTCCCTATATACATATAGTAAAAACTTAAAAAATCTTCTTTTAAAGAACCAAAAGAGCTACAGCTAAGATATTTAGCATGAAACATGTTCTAATAGGTGTCTACCAAGTTTGTTCAAATAAAAGCCCTGGGGTCAAAATTGGCCCCGCCCCGGGGGGTCATTGATTTTCCCTATATGCATATAGTAAAAACTTAAAAAATCTTCTTTTAAAGAACCAAAAGAGTTAAAGCTAAGATATTTAGCATGAAACATGTTCTAATAAGTGTCTACCAAGTTTGTTCAAATAAAAGCCCTGGGGTCAAAATTGGCCCCGCCCCGGGGGGTCATTGATTTTCCCTATATGCATATAGTAAAAACTTAAAAAATTTCTTTTAAAGAACTCAATGAGCTAGAGCTAAGATTTTTAGCATGAAACATGTTCTAATAGGTGTCTACCAAGTTTGTTCAAATAAAAGCCCTGGGGTCAAAATTGGCCCCGCCCGGGGGGGGGGGTCATTGATTTTCCTTATATGTGTATAGCAAAAACTTAAAAATCTTCTATGAAAAAACCCAAATAGCTAGAGTTTAGATATTAAGCATGAAACATCTTTAAGTAAATATCTACAAAGTTTGTTCAAATAAAAGCCCGGGGGTCAAAACTGGCCCTGCCCCAGGGTGTCATTGTTTTTAACTATATGTGTATAGTAAAAACTTTAAAATCTTCTTTTAAAAAACCCAATGAGCTAGAACTTAAATGTTTAGCATGAAACATCCTCTTATGGGTGTCTACCAAGTCTGTTCAAATAAACAAATAAAAGCCCTTGGGTAAAAATTGGCCCGGGGTGGGGGGGCCTATATACAGGTGAGCGACCTCAGGGCCATCATGGCCCTCTTGTTTTGTTTTTCTTAGGTTTTAAGCTAAATCCTCCAAATGACAAATATAGCTATTTTAAACACCTACGTGGATGTATTTTGTTTTAGCTTTTAAGCATAGCATTAAAACAATTTGAACTGACACCAGATACATCACAGGCGTACACGGGGTCTTTGAATGTCTTTTATTTGTGAGTAAAAGAGAAGAAAACACCATAGAAAACAATTATTTTCAGAAAGGTAGCTTTAATAAATCTGGTGTTATTGATTTCGTGATTATTAAATCATGAAAAAGGTATAGACGAAAAGCGATCATACCAAATAGATAAAAGATTTCGTAATTTCTGTAAAATGTAAATAATCTAATCAGAAGATATATGATTATGAACGTTCGTTGGTCTTTAAATTTCTGTTTATTCAAAATGATATAAAATGTGCGAATTGTGAAGTACCAATGCTTCAAATTAGATAATTATCTTTTTTCTTTCAACTTACTGCTATTTAAAGAAAACGCATTTAGGTATTTAGAATTGATAATTCTATTATCTGAATTAGATTCGAAATGTCACATCCTTAAGGGCATGGTAATTTAATAAAGTAAAATGGTATTAAAACTTTCCTTTTGGAACAATAACTCAAACTTGTAAAGAGCTATCAAACATGAAATACGAGTATCGTCATTTATTTCGTTATTCTATGAGCCTATTGTCTGTTACAACCTATCAATCGCTAGACAACGATTTCTATAAGAAAAATAATGATTTATAAAATAAAGAATATTTTAAAGGTGTTACTTTATAGATTGCTGCAATATCTTATGAGACTTATATTAAGCAACCTGTAAAACACGAAAAACAAATAAAAAAGTGTTCTGCATGGCGCCGCATAGATTCTCGACTAGCATTCTATTCCACGTACCATGAAAATATGACGACAGCTTAAATCGCGAGAAGACATACAATAACGTTTAAAACAAGTGCAATCTAACATCTTTTATTGATCATCGATGGTAAAAAGTTGCTTTTGACAATTACCTTTTCATTCATTGATATATTTTTGTTTTCACGTGCATTGTAAACAATATTTTTTTTTTAAAAAAAAAATTCCGTTTTCATATGATGTTTAAATCACAATGAAGTGACGGTAAATATCTTCAAATTAAACAAGGAGCTAACTTTACAACAACATCATCATAAACTACAACATCACAGCAATAGGTACCAAAAGAAAACAGTTTTACTTGAATCCTTCACGAAAACCGAGCTAACGCTCGTTAACAAACCCATTATAAAGCAGTACACAATTTTTAAAAAAATCAAACATTAACATCATACTTATAACAAATTAAAAATTGTGTCCAAAACTAAAAGGGAGCTTAGTGAAAATAATAAAAATTCAGATATTTTCATTTCTACGACAATTTAGAAATAATTAAGGTCTAATATTGAATAACTATTAGAACCCGCATCCGGAAAAGTGCAACAATCTAGTTGTTTAAAAGGTTGCACTCGTAGTCATTCTTATTCTATAGACCGCGCCAATAATTACTTTCGCGGCTATATTAATTATGACCCAAACGTGCCAAACCGGATTCTAATGCCATTATGAGACTGTATTTTTGTCAAATAAGTAAATGTAACAAATTGGCATATATCAATTAATCTAAACTTACCTATTATCCTACAAGGTGTTTAAGCTTAAATAAAAATCAACTTAAAGCATTTATGAAGTATGTAGTGTTAACGGATCATTTTAGTTTTTTAACATTAAAACATTTAGCCCGGCTTTTTCGATGTATATCTCGGTCAGTTGCTCACAAACAGTACCACAAACTAACTCATGTTTTCTTTTGAGTAAACCATGTCATCTCAATCCAGTGCAGCAATTAGATAGCCAGTCAGCCAATTGGCAAAGAACTCTAAACATTTGACAAATGCATTTGTTTTATTGTCTGTTTCATTTCTGATACAGATTTCAATCATATTTACAATTACGAAAATACAAAAACACTCAACTCCCTTAATTGTATCAATAGATGTTTATCAGTTGCACATTGAATAAACTTCTGGAGAAAAAAAAAACATGTTTACAACTAACATTTGCTCCCAGGTCTCTGTTATGTTGATTTTTTTAAATTTTAATACCAAAGGTAGGTCTAGAATATTTAAATAACAAACCGAGCTATAACGCCCTCATATGAAGCAACATTCCGTTATCTTCATCTTCCCCCACAAGCCGATAATAAACGCTTAGAAACGTATTCATTTATTGTGCGGTGTGCAAAAGTAAATAATAAAACGGTATCATGCATTCGTTTAACCATTTTTGTAAAGAGATCTAATATCAAAGCTTTTTTATACATTTTAACCAATTACTTTAATATATATGCAGACAAAACATTAAAATAATAATAAGAATAGTTAAAGTTTGAATTTAGTAACATCTGCTGATGTGATTTTACTGCGGTCATAGTAGATCATCCAAGAGTGCTTTTCTTGATTATGTCTAAATGCTAGCCTTACTTTTCCATTGTGTCATTGCTGACTGTTATGCCTCGGGTATATAAAATCATCATTTTTTACTTTGTTTTTTATTGACGTTTAATGTTGCAAGTCAAAGATCTGACGCTTTCTTTGTTTTCACTTTAAATGCAAAAACTTTCCTGAAAATACCTCGACGGATTTTAGACACATAACAAGGAAGAATATGAATTACACAGGCGCTGGCATCACCTTTATTGGAGACAACTCAAACACAGGCTACAAAAACGATATGTATCTTTGTGAGAAATGTAAGAGGTTGCTACGTAACACTCGACAACTTGGAATTTTAGTCGACAAATCGGAATTTTCTAATGTCACTTACTTAATTAAGATATAAATGAATGGGTAGAGATGCATGAAGTTTTTGAAAAAGTGGGAATTGTGAAAAACTAACAAATTTAGATAGACGATATTTGTTTGTTTGTGTGTAAGATGAAATTTTATTTCATCGAGTGAGCTATAAAAACAGTATTATCTTGAGTGGCGTAGTTCACGAGATGAAATAAAATTACATCTTACACAACCAATTTTCTATTTATTTTATGCTTAAAAACAAGTTTAAATTAATGAAATTTCCTTAATATTAACTTTAATATCAAAATCTGTTTTCCCCACTGGTAGCCTCATTTAGTCTAATTTCTTTAATTTCTTATAAAATACAAGAATCTTGGGCTGAAAACAAGTTCGACAATCAACGTTAAATGGCGAAGATAATATTCATTTTATTCAAATAATATGAATAATCGCTTGTTTTAATAATAAAAACAAACAATTCTAGTGTAGGAGAAAAAGTCAAATCATCCATTCTTATTTCTGTTACTTACGGCGAATTTATATTAGACCTTGCTCTGTGAAATGTAAGCGGCCGCCATTTTTAAAAGTTGGGTTTATCACAGGAGGGTGTGATATCATTTGGATTTGTTAGTCATACATCTTTTTAGATTGATACCTATTTGAGGATTGTTACAGAGAATAAATAAGTGTTGACATATGTGTAAACATTCAAAAAGCGGCTAGGAAATTGGAAAGCGTGGAATTTTTGAAATGCTGCCTTACGAACGCTGGGTTGATTACTTATTCTTAGGGCTGGTGGCTGTCATTGCTTTTTAAGTTATTAGGCAGTTATTGCTCGTAGGATCTTAAATATGCCCAAATGTTATCAAGAGTAATTTTGCATGTGAAAGGAATTGTATTTTTCAGACTGTAAAAATGAAACAAAAATTTAGAGACGATATTTGGTGATTGGTAATGTGAATGAATTGAAGTAAGTTTTCTTCTTTTTATTACTTTTTAAATTTCAGTTATTTATCAATTTCAACTTTGCTTTTCTCTAAACAGCCCAAACATTGTTAGAATTGTCAAACAATAATGAAACAATAACTAAAAATGACAAAAAATAAGAAGAAAAAAATAAGAAGGTTTATTGAACACGATTCACCTGAACACTAGATATAAGATAAAATGTTGATCCCAGTAAATATCCTGGTTAAATCATACTTATTCACAGGTTTATAAACAAGGATTATTTCAAATCAATACATATAAATATGTGATAAAAAACTGAATGTGGGGATGACCATAGAGGGAAATGAAAAAAGATAAAATAAAGACTAGGTTTGATAGAGTATAAGTCCGAGAGATAATGGAAAACGCGTCTTTTGTCACGCTCTCTAGAACAGTGTTAAGATGTATAAAAATTTCAAAACTGGAAAAATTAAAAATACGAAACCACCTTAATCCAATATTTTACGTTTTATATAACCTGGAAATGCACACAGTAATCGCAATACATATATAGCAGTTATAGAGGAATCTACATTGACATTATTGGAGAAAGCTAGCGTAAAGGAGGAAAATAACTGATATAAAACTGCTGGCAGTGAATATAAACGCAACGACTAAATATAACGTTTGATTCACTCAGTGTAGCTAGGTGTGTGTCTTTAATGTTCAAGACAGAACTTATTTATATCAATTGGTATATTTATATATTTTGGACATCTTTACATGATCCTATTGGATTGCTACTTTAATACTTGGACATTCGTATCGATGTGTTATCTAAGATGTTTAAATGTAGGTAAACTTTTTTATTAGTAAAGATTTGAAAATAATGTATATTTTAACATAATGTAACATTTTATTTTAATGCTACCCGTTAATGTTATTTATTGTGAGGAAGCTATATAGCTAGCTTATCAAAGGTCGAAGGTTTAACTTATGCTTAAATTGATGCAGGAAGGATTCTTCCGAACATTGACATATGATCTTAACAATGTCGGTGTGCCTTGAAATATAAACTAACTGACACACAAACAAACAAATAGAGAAACAAACAAACAAAGAATCACGTTGATATTGGTCAATAGAATGAATTCCTTAATTCTTTTATTATAATAACACAAGTAATTTTCAATTTTTAAAAACGTAATAAAATAGATATCTGAACATTATATATGAGACATAACCGGAAGCAAAACCTTGTTTTTTTTGTATTGAAAACAAATATGTTTTAATTATCATCTGTGAAGTAGCTTCTCTATTTTAATAAATAATAAGGCAAGAAAGAAGATGAAATTAGACCCTGAAATAATATCTTTTATTATATACTTATGAATAAAATATTGAGAAATATTGATGAAATAAAATGCGTATTTTTATTTTTCCGTATTTTCACTGTAAAATATTATTTTTCACTGGTATTTTCCGTATTTTCACTGGTGTTTTGCCGGACTACTTTCTTCTAAATTCAGCTAATAAACAAACTTAAAAGGGAACTCTTCCTATTCATAGACTAAAAAAAAAGTATATAATAAACAGAAAATTCAAGTTTTTTCCATAAATACAGGATTTATTTTCATCTTGTGGTATGAAAATTAACATATTTCACTCGTGGCTATTGCCACTCGTGAAATATTTATTTTCATACCACTCGATGAAAATAAATCCTGTATTTATAGAAGAATCTTGAATATCCTCTATTTATTATTAAAAGTATAACCAAATCTTAAGCTTTTTCTGTTCAAATGGGCTTAATTATTGTTCAGTTTTCCCTACACAAATTCAATATGTTTAATAGAATAAACTACTGATCATAAAATTATACCATAATTTGTTTGAATATTTAATATATTTTAAACATTATGTTAATTGTATAATTTTTTTTTTATTGCAGACAAAATACGGCACCATTGAAAGCAGACTTGAAATCTAGAGACTAGAAGCATATCTATATAGATGTTACGGAAATGGAATGTTGCTAGAACTGACACTCACTGGGAATTATAAATCATTAAATCCTTTCTGACAATATTATTCTTTCTGTAAATTGCAAGTAAATCGATTAGTAGATCGCTAGCTTGCTTCTGAATAGAAATTGTTACCTTGTTTCCATCTAAACTGTGCAATAAAACAAGTTGTGTGTGATTAAAACGTCTGGAGGCTTTTAGAAAAGAGCTTTATCCAAAAAAAAATCTGAAATATACACTATGACATTTTCGGATAACTGTTGACTCTCATCGTGGACAAAAAAGTAACAACATGATGTTGTTTACCATTTTTGATGCGGATCATTTTAATTTGCTCTTATCATAATTAAATTGTGAACAATGATTCGTTATCCAGCGGAGTATATTGCATTGGTTTGTTTTCTGCTTGTTGGCGAGGTCATTGTTGGACTAACTCTGAATTTATATATCATGATTCGCTGGTACAGTGACACCGCACGAAAAGCTAAAAATAGAAAGAATGGCAACAACTTTATCGTTACGCTCAAATTCATGGACTTATTTATTTGTGGTACAGCAATTCCATTTGCATTTGCTGTGCTTATAGTAGACAGTGATCATAATTTAGTGGTTTGTTTTATCAAGGAAGGCCTTGTAATGTTTGCAAGTTCAGGGAGCTCATTCTGTGTTTTGCTCATTAGTGTCGACAGATATATAGCCATTGTTTGGCCAACCAAAAATTTATTAACAGCGGGTAGAATTTTATTTTGTAGAGTTTTTGCGGTGCTATTTGCTTTGATTGGATTAATCCTTCCATCTTTAAGCCTGTTAATGGGATTGTATACCAACGCATATAGTCAAAGTAAAAACATCCTTCCATGCAGACACGTAGTTTGGATTTTCAAACCAAATTATTTATATGAGGTATACTACATAATTTCCTTCCTTATCGCTGTGATAACAACTTTTATATGTTACCATTATGTGCTTAAAGTCGTTCGACGCCGTATGTTATTACGATCAACGACAGTCTCGTCAACATCGGCAGCAGCTCAAAAAGATAAATCGTATGCTGAAAGATTTCGAAGACAGGAATATAAAGCGACTCGTGTGGCTTTTGCAGTGGTTGTATCGTTTCTTGTTTGTTGGGGTCCCCATGTTATTATTACTGTGATACAATTAACTTTAGTAGAAAATATAATAGTTGATATGATTCAGTCTGTATGTTTAGTTTTTGCTTTTTTGGCACCAATCATTCATCCTGTGATATATACATATGAAACCAACGACAGAAGAAAAACTTTTTCAATGACAAATATACCAATTTGTGGGGCGTGGTTTAAAGGTGGTAGTCGTGTGACGCCGGAACAAACAAATGTGGAAAGTATGAAAATAAGTAGTCGCGTGTTACCAAATACATCTAGAATTGATAGTGTTATTTGCACCAGATCTTCACCTGTTCAGCGTGTAAAAAAGGGCCAGGTAAAGATATCGAGTCAGTCAAATACTGAAAGTGGTAGCAGTGGTCATTTAAATGTCATATGTGACAAAACAAACTACGACATATCGTGTGAAACAACTTCAATAACGGTCAGAAAAACCGCTGATGAAGTATCAGAACATGACGTTTAAGAAAGATATATATTTTGTAAGTCCTGAAAAAAAAAATTATATATATTTCTGATATAAACGCACAATATTGTTTTTAGAATATCAAATTTTTACAACGATACTTGATCTCTCATTCTATGAACATTTTAATAAAACACCTCTTTGAATTATATAAGGATGAAACATCATGCGTTCAAGGACGGTATTTTAAATTATGTAAAAATTTAGATTATTACGTTAGTGTACCAATATCAATATTACAGAATGTCAGCCATGTTATTATTGTACTGAGAACAAATGTGTTATTGATGCTATCTCGCATTGGTTTCTGTTTTATCATTGTTTGTTACTAACAGAAAACTAAATGTTAATATTTAATAGATAGGGGATCCCTACAGTGCCGAGTGATAAATACCAAGCATTAGCGTTGTTAACGTATATTCATAACATGTCTTGGCAGACTAGTGTCTCTTGAACAGCTCTAACATAACATGATTAATTTCAAACAAATGAAAATATATGTATTTCATACAACCGAGGTTTTTGTTTTATTCTTTACTCATGAATTGCATAGCATATATTTTTTATGTTTAAGAATATGAATTTGTAAGGAAATTCTTACAAAACATTATTTTATGACTAAAATACAAACTTGATAGCTCTAGATAATAGAGTAAAATATTAATTTGGTACTTAGTAATAATACGTGTCAGATGATGACATTGCATTTGCTGTCATATGTCCCGATATGATTGCATCAATAGGAAATAAAGTTTGAACCATAACACATGCAATTTAATAAACAATGATACTTGTCATGGGAATATAAACTAAATTGAAATTATAAACTTTACAGACGACTGATTGTAGCATTCGAATGTGCAGTCTGCTTGGAATTAAGTTTTAACAATAAACACATATCAATTCTCGTTTATTGTTTTTCATTAAGGTCAGGAAAACTGGCTGCATATAACTGTCAATGCTATTTCCGACATGTCTTGTTAACCACGTTGTGTACTGTTATAATGTTCGGTGATGTTTTAGTAAAATGTTAAATATTTTCACAGAATTATTTATTGTTACATTGAAATAAAAGTGAAATACTGCTCTATTATATTATGTTATCCATGTTTCTACTGTAAACTTTTTATGCAGGTCATTTTAATGTGTTGTACAATCGAACCAAAGACGATCTAAATAATATGTGTGCTTACTGTGGAAAATGTCTTATGTATATTTTAAATTCGTAAAACAGAGATGGATTGACGTTTATATTTATGGACAAAGTCAATCTCGATGGATTCGAATTCTCTGTTTCCGCCTCACAAGCAAACAAAAAACAAAAAGCAAATGAAAACAACAGCATACACGAAAAACAACGCGATAGGCCACTCAGCAAAAATATCGACTCACTGACACAGTTGTCAGAACTTGTGTTCATTGTAATCAAGGTATGTGTAGTCATACGTAACACAAATTACAAGCGATATATATTTTTTTATATTTCTTTTAAATTGTGATTATTTGATTGCAAAGTTTGTCTTTTGATATGTGTGCTACTATGAAAAATAGATATAATCCAACCATTGATAATGTTTAATTAATTTTTAATTAACTGAATAATTATATGTGTAAAAACTTTAAACTGCATGTTAAAATATTATCACGAAACGACTGTATTTGTTCTATCAATCATAAAACTAGCTGAAGCTACTTAATCATATCATAGAAACATATGTTCTTGTGCCCATCCATATGTATACGTGAACCGCCTCCGTGGTCGAGGGGTTAGAGTCGATTACTTCTTATCCAGTTACCTACCCGCAAATATGACTGAAATACTGTTGGGAAAAGGCGTAAAATGAAACAAACACAAACAAACAAACATACAAACAATATGTATACGTACACTTTACTGAAGTACTGTGAAAAGCATTTAAACGTAGATAGATGAATGGATGTGCACACTTCACTTTAATCCTAAATGTATCACATTTTCCTGTTCAGAATTTTGAACTGTCCGTTTAAAGTTTGAGATTTCAATATCAAAATACAGAACTGAGCTACCAACAGTATTGGACATGGTCATAATGCACTAATGAGCAGATTGGTCTGGATCTATACTGATTGCAAAGTCTAATCACTCCCAGGCACAGTAGTAAGAGTTTTTAAACTGTTTCAGTTCTATAATCACATACCCCTTCAGTGTCGTGATATATAAAGAACAAATATCTCATATTTATTTGATGTCACGTGACTTATACGATATCAAAAACCGGTAAACATTTTCATAAGATCGTTTGATATCTGAACATTTTGATGTTAAAGTCATTATAAAGAATGTCATATCTTCCCACATAATGAAAATTTACTTGCTTCTAATAGCTATTTCCGTATGACTTTATCATTTCCACACATTTCAGCTAATAATTGAAATTCACAGTTACGATGGATAATTTTGCGTAAATGTCAATTGTCTTTATAAAAAAAGTCAACTTATATATATTACTGAATTAAATGGCAATATTTTGATCCAAAATAAGGGTGACTGTATCAAAATGTTTCATAATTCAGCCATATTTTCATTTGCTTTTGACAAAAATATTGATTTTTTGTGATATATAAACCCAAGGGGCAGGACGTGAAGTGGTTGCACACTTGGTTCAAGCGAGAGAATTAGTTGCAAACTTGACAAAATGGCGAACACGGCGTGATTTTTTTAAACGGGTGAACGAATTTTTGCCAGGCAAGTGGGTTTCTTTGTTATTTTGAAGTTCATTAGTATGTCTATTCCATAATGCAATATATATGCCACACTCGGTTAAAGGTTTCAGCATCCTAGATTCCGTTTTGACGAAGTTATTGAAGATATAAACTGATCATGTAGATATTTTGAAATTTGACATGTGACTGTTCTAGTCGGTTTTTCTCCTAATTTATTCGAATTTGTAAGTTTGAACTGCATTTAACAATAACAAAATATGTTTCTGTCAATGCTGTACAAATGGTTTAGTTCGCTAAAGTAACAAAGAAACCCACTTGCCTGGCAAAAGTTCGTTCACCTGTTTCAAAAACGCCGTGTTCGCCATTTTGTCAAGTTTGCAACCAATTCGCCTGCTTGAACCAAGTGTGCAACCACTTCACGTCCTGCCCCTTGTAAAACGCTACTAAAAATGGGAAATGGTCTCCGCAAACGGCAAAATTAAAAATCTGGAAGTATCAATTCATGCACAGGCTTTGAATAGTTAAAGACATTTTCTACAGTTTTATGAAAATTTAATCCTTTCATAGAATTTTCTTAATTTTTTGTATGATAAGTAAAATTTAATGGCGAATTCAAAAATAAAAAGAAAAATATATGTTGACGTGTTGGATTTCTTGGAAAATGGCAGTTTCCATGGTAACCATATATCTAAAAACTGTTAATATAGCCAAAGTGTGTTATAACAAATAGAAAATGTATAAAATAGCTTAATACACACAACAAGCAATGTTTTATGCAAAGATAACCTTATCCAGTGATTCTGTATGAAACAAATTATAATCTAAACATATTTCTTAAAAAATGAGTTTTCCGTGCTCCTTAACTGAACAAAAAATGAGAAAAATAAACATGAATTCTGTGAATAATTAAAGATATTGAAAAATTTGTTTCATAGGATTTTCTAATTTTTTAGTATTTTGTGTAAAATTTAATGACAAATTCAAAAATAAAGAGAAAAATATATGTTGGCGTGTTAGATTTTTTGAAAAATGGTAGTTTCCATGGTAACCGTATATCTCAAAACTGTCAAAATAGCCAAATTGTGTTATAAAAATGTACAAAACAGCTTATTACACACACAATAAACATATTTTCAAACAAAACTTGCTTTATCTATAGAGTTCTGTATAAAACAAACGATAATCTGAACATATTTCTTTAAAAAATGAGTTTTTCATGCTTTTTATCTGAACAAAAAATGAGAAAAATAAACATGAATTCTGTAAATAATTCAAGCTATCAAGAAATTTCTTTCATAGAATTTTCTACATTTTTGATAAATCAAGTAAAATTGTATGGTGGATTCAAAAATAGAAATAAAAATATATGTTGACTTGTTAGTTTTTTGTGTAAACGGGCAGTTTCCATGGTTACCGCATATGCCAACTGTCAAAATTACCACGCTTTCGTAAGATGAAATATCAGTGATATACTAAATGCATTGTCATATATACAACAAAAAAACAAGTTGTATTATAAATTTCTATTTCTTTTGATGTTATATTAACTAATGATACTAAATATGTTTTTAGAAACAGGTTATAAATTAAGGCCATATTATTTCTTCGACCGACTAACATACTAAAATTTACTAAAATAATCAGAAATTTACAAAGAAAATAATGAAAATCGGAACATTTTCTTCGATATATTTTTGTTTTTTATTCAACGTTTTTCTATATATTCATTTTAAACTTCTTTGCCCACTTGTCTGCCAGTAATCAAGTGGCAACGCACTTTCGTCATTATACCACAAGTGGGTGGGGTAACGCGCGCAGAATCATCATCAATGCTGTCGTACTAATGCTAGGAGAAATCCTTTATCTGATGTTATCTAAACGTTCTCTTATTCTTTTGAATCGATCTCCTCCTGAACATTTAGAAATATCTATTTTGTATTATTTACTCATTATTTGCTTGTGGCCGAAATTTAAACAGTTATCCGAGTACTATTAAACTTGACCTTCTTTTTGAAGAGTAATTATCCGTGATTATCTTTCTTGGATGCGCATAACGATGCGCACAAAAAACTACCGAAAACGTCTTTAAGTCCCAAGTCGTCTCGATCTTAGCAAAACTTTAAAATTTAAATATCAATTGCTGTTTAATTCAGAATTTAGAAATATCTCCATATATATTCATGCGACAGCTAACATGGAGCTTTTACTTTGACATTTTTTGCCATTACATGATTGGTTTTAGCCGTTTCCTTATTCATGATATACAGGTAAACTTCTTCTCTTGGATCTAACAATTTCCTTGTTATTTTTATGCGCTGATTAACCGTTTTCAAACTCAAAGGCTTATAATTAAGCCTTTATAGAAACAATTTTCCATTCGTGCTAGTAAAATTGAAAGTTTAATTTGTGTCGATTAATAACCTAATACATGTACACAGTTTCATGATGAAAAATTGATATTTAACAATATTGTCTATACACGATGTCCCTTAATGTCTAAATATATTTTATATATCATATGCAGCTTAATTGGTGGCAGGACATGCTTAAAAAGATAAATCAGAAAACATGCATTTTGTCTTAATCTTATGACAACCCATCTAACATGGACTTAAGAAAAGCATTATATTTAAGACTAGGAATAAAAAAAAGCGCGAGAAAAACACCCTGATTGTTGTTTTTTACCTTGTATTAAAAATAATTGAATAGTAAAATAATAAACTTAATGCAATTTTTCAAAAATAATAACGATGTCAAGATTATGTTTTAAGCAAGCTGACAAGATTATAAAGGGGTTCACACGTTTTAGTACTGTGTTTGACAAGAAAGTCAATGTGTCACTACCAAAGTCAACATCGCTGAAGTAACATGTCACAAACCCCTAATTTATTTATATTAATCACTTATTTATAATTTTGTGTTTGGTGGGCTAAATATTGAAAAGTATTGAAATGTCAATCCCCTCACTGTAACCACAACAACAAATATGTTCTGACTGTGGTTTAACCATAAATTAATAAAATATTCAGAATTAAGTTATCAGAATCATTGTTTAATTTTTACACATGCTAATATGATAGGTGAATGCGTGTCAGAAGAACTTATTTAGCTAATTAGCTGGATTTTATTTTGATTGACAGAAATGAATATTTGTATTGTGTATTGACATTTTGTTGTGATAAACTTGACTGTGCATGATTTATTACTTATATCTGTTAAATAGAAAATCCTATCATCTAGTAATAAATCTTCTTACATAGATCGGAATAACATTTAGATATCATGATTTAAAACACAAAGAAAAAGAAACAAAGGAAATAGCAGGTAAAAAAGTATATCTTTTTGTAAGATCAAGTGTGTTTGTTTTTCTTATAGAACTTATCAA